ATGCTTTGCAGTGCTGTCCAGAGTAAGGCCTCTTTCATACAGGCAGCAGGGTTTAGCGCCCCCCAGTGAATCACTTTTCAGGGGTGGTTGAGTGGTGGTTTGCAGGCATTCAGGAAGCCATAGAGCTTTGCTGAGTCTTGTAATAATCAGCAACATGAAGTTGGTGGATCCAGATTTTGTTTTACTCCAGAATTAAAACACAGGAAAAGTTTTCACACATTTTACTTGCCTCACATATCCATGGAAGCAATGTAAATCATATTAATAGAATGTAGTTTTTATGCAAATCTGCCTTAATTAGTGTAGTACAAATGTGTATTGTGTAGGTACCACCTCTGGTAGGTGTGAATATTGGAAAGATTTGTATTATACAACCAAAACAGGGACAGAAAAACCATTTAATCAGGTATAAAATGTATGTATTGTAAACCTTAATAATAAACTTCTCTTATTTCCTTCCTTTTGGCCGGTTAAATATACCATTGAAAATGTATCATTATATCTATCCAAAAGTCCAACAAATAACTGATCCTGCCAGTAATCTAACGCTGTGTCCTGTGCGTGCCGTAGTGTATCTCAAATAATGTTATCAGGAAGTGTGCTATGGCTACAGAACACCTCTTCCTATGCTATTGAGATAAAGAAAGCTGTTCTGAAGGTCCTAACACACTTCCTGTCCTAGGGTGACAACACTGATCCTTCATAGATACAGTACACTGAGCAAGCGTTGTCACCTTAGACAGGGGTGTCAAACTCAATTTAATTGTGGGCCGCATCAACATTATGGTTGCCCTCAAAGGCATCTGTAAGACTATATATATGTATCTAATATTTATCATAATTGCCTCTGCATTCGATTATCACTGGTTTTAGTAATAACTTAATACTTAGATCTGAAAGTAGAAGTCTAGGAAATGGCCTTGATTTTGACACATGTGCCTTAGGACATCAAAGTGTCTATCTCCAAAGCAGTGAATGTGACTTTTACCAAACATCCTTTGATAGAGATTCAATCACTGCAATTTAAAACACCTGTATCAGGAAGATTTACCTGTTTGATGATTGTCAGATTCTCTGCTATATAAATGCATATAGATTATCTGCTATATACAGTATTCCTCCAAGTCTTTTACTGGCAAGATAACCAGGTGAAAAAAAGAAAAAAAAAAGGCCTACAAAATAAAACTACCCCCACATCGAAGGACTGGTAAACAGCAATATATGACATGTTTGTTCTTGGGATTATATATACTTATAAAAAATAGTCCATACCTAAATTAATGAATGAATGCATAAACAACAACAATGTGCAATGACAACAAATCTAACATCTTGCAGAAAGAATGAAAATACAATAGCGGGGTAGCAGCACGCTGACAAGAACAGTAATTATTATGACTATATTTAAGTATACTATAAATATTAATATTATAAAAACCGTCGTTTCTGATGATTGTCAATTGAATTTTTAATTAGTGTTTTATGCCAACGAAAAAGAAGTATAATATAAAATCCCCAGGTGGTTTATCATGTCTTTATCGCATAAATCAGGAAGTCCCAGGTCTTTTTTTTATTGACAGTGCTAAGTGTCTTATTATTCATCATAGAGTGATGATGATGCCACTCCCCATTGATGGTAGGTGACAACAACTCTAATTAATGACTGCAACGAAATGTGATACACAGAAAGCTCAACAGCCTTACATTAGGCCTATCTCCCAACCTAACGATGGATGCAAGAATCTTGTTGGAATCATTGTGTCACTTGGTGTTTGTGTTGCTCACACTATTTGGAATTCCTGGAAAGCCTCAGTGCTGTTTTATAAATAGCTCAAATGAAAGCAACCGAATACGCTGATAGAAAAACAACATATTTGGCACGAGGACAAAATCTGATTGAAAGATGGCATTTTGTATCATTAGGAGAGGATCTCAAATGTTTCATCATGTCCCCTTTGTTGGGACCTAAACTACAGCTGTACCCAAAACTACATGTAAATATAACAAGGAAGGAAAAATCTTCCACTGGACTGTCACACTGTATTACAGGCCATCTAGTGGATTCTATATTGGAATATATGTTTGTATATATTTTCTTTATACTGTGCCGGTTTTTTAAAATTTATTTAGACAGGTAAATGTGAAATATTGCATATGGATATTTCATATTTAAAATATCCAACCAGTAGGTGTAGCTAAAGGGTAATTGTCACGGGTTTACCAGGCTATCCTTAACTGCTTTGCTGAAAAAGCGTGTTGATTATAGAACTGAAAAACTGAGGCTGCGATTACCACTCTTCTTATTGGCTCTGTTCAGACAGGGTTGTAGGAACATTTAAATAGGCAGAGACAGCCACAATGAAAATATCTACTGCTAGATTGTTTTCTTCAAAAAAAAGTTATGCAAAAACAGTGTTTAAGGCAACTCTGCAAATATTTCATATAAATAATGACACACAATCCAGGACAGCAATTTCTAAACGTTAAAAAAAAAAACACTGAACCATTAACGTTTCTCTTTGTATTCTAGCCAAACAGCGAAATACACAGATGAAATACATGTACAGGAGTTACTTTATTCGTTGAAGGATTTGTAATTTTTGTCCATTCAGTCCTGAGATTTACACAGCCCAGCCAGGTTTGTGACCTGACTTTTTTCTAAAGCAGTTAAAGCTAAGTAAAGTCTGGTGTGGTGGGTGGGCTCTTGCTATAACATGCAAGTATGTATGTACAGCATGCTTGCACATTATGGTACACTTACCTGACAGTCTGACCAATCCTCCAGTGCTCACTGATCTACACTGTCAGTCACCGCTCCGTACACCACCATCACATCCTCCGCTGCTTCTTCCGGGTACCCGTCGTTCTGTGTGATCATTGGGCTGCCTGTGATGATGTAACTCCTGCAATTGCGCACAGGAGTTACATCCTTGGCATCTGGGTCTATTCCTGGCATACTGCAGATGAGATTATAAAACTAATCTCATAAATAAAAGTTAGAAGCAGCCGCTTTTTTCAGCAGAGGAAACCTGCCATGTCTATTCTGCCAAAAAACTCTACTTTCTAGCAGTTTGTTTTTTTTAGGTTTACTTTCACTTAAAGTACTACAGCTAGGTCTCCTCTCCACCCCCAACCTCTGATTGGATAGTAAAAATGCAGCAGCAGACTGATGAGGTCATCTCTGTTCCCTGTTCTCTCCTCCAGTCACCATGTTTCTTGTAATCACATGTGCATAGCAGCACACTTGATTGGCTGCCAGTACTGCCCCTCCCTCTCCCAGTCTGCATGCTAAATGTACAAGAGGCTTATAGTAAACCAAATTCAGTTGCGTTTAAACATATACTTAAATATTTTTTAATGAATGTATAACTGCGTCACTTGCAGTTTTTTTTATATGTGCCCGAAGTTCATCTTTGAATTATTCTTTAACATCTTTTCCCATGTTCATTTACTTTGTTATTGCAATATAAGCCTGGCTCATTTCCTTAGCCCCCATGTCAAGTCTCCATTTCTCCATACCCCTCCTCCTGTCATTCCAAGCTGTGAACATTCACTCTCCGAGTCCAAGAAAAATCTTTGCATTCCAAGTCTCTGTCAGGTAGCCCTCATCCCCCAGCTGTAATGGCATGTAATTGTATTATAATGTATAATTCATAAACCACTCTCTAAAGACCGTAATGCTTTCAATCACGCGTGCACTCAGCCTGACCGAAGATTTGTTTGTACAGCGCTGGGAGGGGAAGGTGGCGGTAAGTAGGTGGGGTGTATAGTATATGACAGAGGGCAGTTCATAAATGTGAGCAGGTGGAGGACTGTAGGCTCGGGGTAGACAGGAATTAACCTCCCCTTTAAAGTAAAGTGACTTGTATGAAGAACACGGAGAAGCGTGTAAAGAAAATGTTGATATTGGCGGCGTTATTTGTGAACTAGGGAAACCATCTGACTTTGCTGCAGCTGCAGCTAATGATATCTGTCACTGATAGACAAGATGAATTCAAGAGCTTAAAGTGGATCTGTCTTCACCAAAGATTAACCAAAGCAGCATTAGTAATGAATAGCAGGCACGATAATGTGCTTTGAGTATGTGGTACCCCTGTAGCACTGAAAACAGGGACACTAGGTGTATGCAAAGACTGACTTTTCAACAAGCACTTAAAGTGGTCACTCTTACTCTGGCCAGGCTAGGGACATTTCAGAGATGCAGAGAGACCACTGCATCCACACAAAGAGTAAGGATCCTTCTATGAAGCTTTCTGGCAGGGGACAGGCTGTGGCTGCTTTCTAAAGGAAACAAACTATAAGATTTTAAAACCTTTTGTTGTAATTTCCCTGGAATGTATTTAGCTGATTTAAAGGGTAATTCCACTTTCCCAGCCCAATTTGAGAAAATGGAATCACCCCCACTAGCCTGCCCCCTCTCCCATCACCCCCACCCCCTTGGTCTTACCTTTTATCGAACAGTCATTCCCCTTTCACAGCTACCGGTGTACGATCTGTACACCGTACACCGTACACAGCACTGCAACCCTGCACTCAGTATTTCAAATTACGCTCACAAATGGCAAGCACTCATTGGTCAGAATAGACACCAGAGCTAGTGTCCCCATTGCAAGATTTCCCATGTATTGCTGCTCTAGTGACAACCCGAAATTCGGTAATTTCTTTTAGTTATAACAGTCAGCAGGAGAAATAGAGAGGGTCACTCTCCATAAAGGGGATACAGGAAGCAATACAAATCTGACAAGTGTTCTAATCCCCCGCCCCCAGTGTATCCAAAATTGAAATAATAAAGTTTTGTCTTCAGTTGCACTTTACGTAGGCGCATATTTTGACAGTCTTTGTTAATTCTCAACCTTTATTTAATCTGCTTTTCTGATACAACACTGCCTCATTTATCAAATATGTCCATAACCAAAATACTTTTTTTTTTCTGTTGTGGGTCAGACAAATGAAGAACGAATATGACCGGTTGTGATTTTTGTCATGAGAACACTTCTTACCTTTGGTAATCTCTCTGGGTCACCCGGATGCCTAGGGATCACTTTCTGAAGCCTCTGAAAGCCGTAGTCAATGGTGGGTTCATTTAGAGCTGAAAGAAAACACAGATACCTTTAAATGTCAGAATATTAAATTCAGATCATTTCATACTTGGGGCATTGTGAAAATGAACCTGTCACTTGGCCCAAACAGGAAGAGCAATGCTGATGCACACTGTGAAATGATAGATAATCCCCTAATCAGAACTCTTTTACGCAAACTGAAATCTGATTGGCTACTGGGAGTTGATGCACTCGTAATGAATGCTTTTCACACTGCCTTATTCAGCAAACTCAATTATGTCATCCTGTTGAGAAGCATTATAGAGGCCATTGAGAAAATAAAGATAAAATTCCTTCAAGTTTAGCTTAATCAGAGTTCTCTGTAATTCGATGCAGCCAGAATCCAAAGACCAACACACAAGCTTGATGGGAGTGTAATTCCTGAAGCCTGTGTTGTGTAATTTTTCCCCCTCTCTCTGCTTTCTGTATCAGAATCAAATTTCCTAAGCAGGTTTGAATGTTATTGGTGGGTGTGAGAGAGGGGTCTTGCAGGGCAGAGGGTATGTTTAGGGATACCTCTCCCACACCACAAACAGCAAAGGGTGAACTGATAGTCTACATCAGTGCTCTGATAAAGAATCAGGGGACCTGAGCAGGTAGGCTGAGTTTCCTGTATGTGTTTCTAGATTTTGTGTTCCGTTTTTACTGGAGTATACCTTTAACCAGCAAGACAGCTAGAGAATTTGAATGCCAATATAGACACCCACCATGTCAGTTTAAAATAAACCTTTACATAAAGCTGAATAAACTCATAAGGTGGAACTCTCTGGTACCTGGAAGAGCCTTCACATATCTTCTCAGCATCCCTAGAGTCCTTAAAATCATGGTGATATGTAAATCTTGACTTCTGCTGGGAAAGTCAAGTGATGCCACCTGCCTCTATCTACTTCTGATTGGTCATCAAGGCCACCATTAGGTACAAGAACCAAGAGGGGGGCAGAAGCATTGAGCAGCTTCTGAGGTCATTCAAGAAGCTACATCATATGGCCAAAAATTGTGGACACCAGACCGTTACACATATACTATACTGTATGGCCAAAAGTATATGGACATTTGACTGTTACACCTGCACCATATGGCCCAAAATATGTGGACATACCTCCAAATTATTGAGTTCAGGTGCTTCCAGTGAAGGGTACTGTTAATGCTGCAGCATACAAAGACATGTTAGAAAACTGTGCACTTCCAACCTTGTGACAACAGTTTGGAGAAGGCACTTTTCTGTTCAAGCATGACTTTTCCCTTGTGCACAAAGACACCGTGTGACGAGCTTGGTGTGGCTGAACTTGAGTGTCCCCACTCACAGAACCATGACCACAACCCAACTCAAACATGTTTTTTTTGGCTGAATGGGCACATATTCCCAAATGCACACTCCAAAATCTTCTCAGAAGAGTGAAGGTTGACAAAGTGTGTGTTTGGGTAGCTTCATATTACTGCCCATGGTTTTGGAATGGGGTGTCCAACAAAATCATATAGGTGCAATGGTCAGGTGTCAAAAAGCGTGTGGTCATTTAGTGTATAAGAAAGTGCATGCAGGTTCTTGGAGATGTCTCATGTATGCTGCAATTTTAGTAGTTTTATGCAGTGATAGGTTTACTTTAAATAGCACACTTGTTTGATGGGAATGTACCTATAGGCTAATCACACATTTTTCTGCAAGGCTCACACATAACCTGTTTAGCCTGTCCCCTCTATCTTTGTTTAGAAAGGATAAGACAATTCTTTAGGATGATGGAAGGAACACTGAACGTATATATTATCACTGCCTTTACTAGAATGTAGAGGGATTTGTGTCACTGGCAGCTGAAGGGATATCATTTGTCTCATTTACTATTAAACATGAATCCAAAGGATTGGCACTCTGTCTCTTTCTTTCTCTCTCTCCCCCTGTGCATTTGTCCATCTATTAAAAAAAAACCACACACAATGAATGTAGCTCTCAGGAATGTAAAAAGGATTATTAGCGCAATTGTGTGAAATTCTAATTGACCCTGCGGTAATGGAAGGTGTCGTTACATCCCTCCCCAGCCTAACTGCCCCCTCTCCGCCGACAGGTAGAGAATCCTCGGGATTTTTTAAAAGGACATTTAAATTGAAAAGAGACTTGAGTGCAAGAACATAATTACACCAATAAAATCCTTTAACTAATCAACGTGAAAATCTAAATGGCGATCAATCATTTCTCCGAAAGGAATAATCCTTAAAGTCTCCTGATTGACAGCTCATACTTTCATATGTGAAAAAAAAAATGTTAAAAAAAAAAGGAAAAAAAAAAAAAAAAAAAAAAAAAAAAAAAAAAGAACATCTTCTGTAAAGTGGCCACAAATCCATTTACGGAATACAATACATTCATAAAGGTGAGTAAAAAGCCAATAATTACTTGTGTGAATACGCAGCCATCAAGTAGTAAAAAACTTGGGAATTTTTTTTTTTTCCTTAAGGACGGGTTTGAAACGCTCAGTGTGGAGTCACATACAAATGAGCTATGCTTTAATTTGCTGTAGACTTAACAATGGGGAATAAGATATCTAGCCTGAGGTTTCCGTAAATGAGAAAGTCTGTGAATTGTATTTCAGAGGATGTCAGACATCAATAGAAGTTATCAGCTGCTGGACAGTTTTGACAGGTTGAAATCGATGAAGTTTAATGCGGCTGATCAATGCTAAGTTGCAAGATCTTACATGGTAGAGGTGGTTGGAAGAATTTCTGACACTGAAGATAAAACCAAAGGGAGGGCTCTACATTAGGCTGACTTGTAGTGAATGATGGCTTGATACTGACCCCATCCTGCTGGCCTCAGCTTGTGTCAGTCCATACTGCACCAAAGCTGTATAAAGCTAGAACTGGTCCTGAACAAACCAGGCAGCATAAAGTGGACCCCCTTTCATTAAAAAATGACCTCAGCATTCACCGATATGAAATCATCTTACATTGATTAGTTAAACACACATATTTTTCTTTTACTTACAATTATTGTTTTTCTACTTCTTGGTTCTCTTGGGCATTGGTGATATAATCAGTGCCCAAGTGTTGCATGCTGGGAAGGTTACATGACAGAGCATTGCTGGGAAATCTCATCTGTAATCTCATGAGATCTCAGGGAAAGGCATTTTCCTCCCCTCAGATGATGTGCATGGTCACATGTCCTAGTCACATGTGCCAGAGTTGCAGGAAGTAAAGGGAGATGGATTAATCTGCCCTTAGTAAAAATGGCCACTGTGAGAAGAATGGGGAGGAAAAGAAAGGCAAGGTATGCAAAGAATAAAAAGCCGGCAATTATCTATAAGTGTCTGTGTGTAGATTGCCATTACTGAACATTTCTAAAGGTGTCTTTGTTGGCATTTCGAAGATATGGGTAAAGTTCCACTTTAAACAGCCTTATCATAGTTAATGCTGTACTCCAGGCAAACAGCTATATACATACATGAAATACATATGTGGGAGCTGTTTTGCCTACCTAAGGATTTGTGTTTCTCTCCATCAACTGTTTCCATTTACACAGCTCTGCCACACAGCACAGCCAGGTGAATGACTCAAAGTTAAAGCTGAACTCTGGGCACAAAAACTTCATATGTATTTCTCAACAGTCACAAAGGATATAAATCCACTATTGTGGGCACTAATGCCTTGCAAACACAGATATTATGATGTAAAAGCTGTGGTGACATCATCACTATGCTGCACATTGCCAATGGGCAGAGCTGGGGGTGGGATGCAGCAGGTCCACCCACTGCATGCTGAGTGCAGAAAACTACACAAAAGGGTGGAGACAAGACCAGTCATCCTGCACAAGGAGAGAGATAGCAGTGATTGGTCTTTAATACAAAAAGCTCCAGAACAGAGGAAACCTTCACGCTGGATTACTGCACAGATCTGGAAGAAATACATAAAGCACACCAAGATTCCAGTAAGAGCACATGGCTCTTGTCATTAGATAATATTTGCTTATGCTGGAGTTCAGCTTTATTGAATACAGTGGTGACCCCCCTCCACCCCAGCCTTCTGAATAGACAAAGAAAGAGCAGCACCAGACTGATCCTGCCTCTCCTTCTCTCAGTCTGAGCTCTGCTGTACAGGGGATTGCCAGAGACTGATACCAACTCAAATTCAGGTACTAACACTAGTTTAATTGAAAACATACATTATACCTTATTAATGAATACATAGCTTCCTTAATTTGTATCTTTTATATCTGCCTGGCGTTCGGCTTCAAAGTGCATGAGAAGTCAAAACATTTTTATGTTTTTCGATTTGGATAGAGGATGGAAGTATTAAAACTCTTGTCAGGTTTTTTAGCTGTCTGTGTCCCCACAAGGGAAATTCACCCTCATTTGGTGTGTGTGGTGGTATGGTGTGACTATGGAAGGACAAGTTCTATTTATACCCAGTGTGTTAAATCACTTGTACAGTCAGCTTGGAGCCTCAGAGTATTGTCATGACTAATACATTGCATTACTCAGTGACCCATTATGCTGATAGTGGAGGGGTAAATCCCCAATAACCTATGCTAAAGATCTCATTCACACCACCCGTGTTGCGGTAGCATGCAATAAATGCATTAAAGTGAGTATAAAAATATGGGCACTACCATTGCTGACTTTTTGTAAAAGGCTGAACTCTATCCTTTCTTTAAAAGACCCCCCTGAGCCCACCATGCATATATAGCTTGTGGCCAGTCTAGGATGTCACAGGTCCTTCCTCTTCTTCTCCAGCACTAGTGGTGGCGGTCCTTGTTCTTGCACTAAACAGCCCTCACATCATTAAATAGTACTCCAAGCCCAGCCTAATGTGATGCTGTCCACTAGAGGATGGGTCCATAACAGCCTGGGCTCAGAGGAAGTGACAATGGACATCACTGGTGACATCTAGTGGTGGAAAGGAATTAGTGAGGGTGACAGGTCCAGACTGAAGGTAAGTTTTGCAGCAAAACTGCTTTTTCTTATCGTTAGTTAAGCTGGACAATTTTACATTGTTTTAAAAATTCTGT